GAACTGTGGCCAACCAATTCCAGCTCAAAAGAAAAAAAAAAGTTACCATGCTTCTACAATGAGAGAGAGAGAGAGAGCACTACATTGTTCACAGTTTGCAGGGAAGACATGCCAAGAGCACACTGTTAAAAACCCACTCTAGAAACATTTTCTGGGAAGCGTCACAGATGATAAACTGAAGAGCCAACCAGTTGTGGCTCTTGGGGGCAAACACCCCAGTACCACTTCTGTAGACAACTTATTCTAGGCAACTCCATGTCTTCACCAGAGATGGAACATGTTGTTTACATGCATTACATTTATTGCACAACACACAATAAAATTGTTTTTCCCTGTTCCCAGTTAGATACCTCTGGTGACTCAAAGGAGAAAAATTGGCTTACCCTGTTACTGAGTTTCCCACAGCAAAAGGGAAATCCCCAGCTATAACTAATCCCTGGCTATGTCCCTCGGGCTGTTCTAATTTATGCCAGGGACTGCAATAATCCATGGCTGGCCCCAGAATTTGAGTACCTACCAAAAAAAAAAAAAAAAACAGCTCAAAGATCTGGTATCTCTTAAACCAACTTTATGTAGCTCAGAAGAGGTGATCAGCATGTGACAGTATTAGGATCACTTCCCACAGCAAAGTGTGAAGTGAACAGATTACCCCATTTTAACTCACAAGCAACCTTGCTTTTACCACAGGTTAAATGCATGCACATAGGCATTTGCCACGCTAATAGTTCACGCCCTAGCTTCCCTCGTCATAAATCACTCCTGGAACAAGACCCTAAACAGCCACGTGGGATCCTGGGCAAAGGAATCGAACAATAAACCGTGTACAAGCAACAGCATGCCAGCCCAGTCTGTGGAACTGTTTATACAATAAGGAGCAGAGCTCATGGACTAATTTGTGAGAAGTAATCTTGAGCCATCTGCACCAGATAGTGTATCTTAGTTATCTTTGAGTGCTGTATGTAACTTGATATGTTGCACTTAAGATAGGTGGCAAGTCAGCCAGTGCCTAGAAGAGTGATTCTCAATCATGGTGCCAAGGAGATAATCATTGTAATACATTAGGATTTTGAAATGGGGTGCTGATCAATACAGAAAAAAGTTATGAAGTACTTTGAGTCTACGAAGGTTGTGAATGACCAACCGGCTTAGAACAACACAGGAATTACAGCACAGCTGATCAGCTGTCTGCAGTATATTTATGCAAAGTCTCTTACCTTGTTGGCAAAGCCTGCTAACTACAATGACTCTGAATTTCATTACAGAGGATGAACTTGATGTTCTTCATTTATGCTCCCCAGTTCCACATATCATCTCCCAAGGGGTTTCAGAGTGCTCTAAAAATTAGATAGACACTTTGCCCTAAAGTTGTGCAGCCTGTGTCAGGGTGGCAGGTATCCAGTAAACAAGCTTATGACAAGACAGCACAGGAATTGTCGATGTCAAATGAAGGGATATCTTATCCAATTATTAAGTACTTTGCATTTAAGTGTCTTTAATGTGAGAATCTCGAAGTACTTTCCTTCCATGAAACAGGCAGATGTCATTGTCATCATCTGACAGGTAGACAAACTGAGGCACAGAAGCTAAGTGACCTACAATCACACAAAATCCTTTTTCCACTCCAAGTAAAACATAGCAAGTTTTAGGCAAGTGAAGGCTAGTTCTCTCATAGAAGTAGACCTACCTGAGACTCGTGAAAAACACTAGTGCCTTTAAGTATTGGAATCTGTCAAAAAAAACAGGGACAAATTCTCAGAAGTCATGAAGTTTGTATTTTTTAAGACAACAAAATATCCTTTTTTCTTGTAAATTACTGATTTTGGTAATTTTTAGTAAGCTTCATTGGGTTTTCAAGTTCTTTGCTGAATCTGGGCCTTAATTGCCAAAAGTATGCATAATTTAACTCTCAATCCAACACTTTCAGTCTGATATCCTGATGCTGGCACACTACGGTTGAACCAGCAGTAAAAACATGCTGTGGTTTTGGCTATCTGCAGAACTCTGCAGTAAAAGTTCAGCCCCGAGGAGGTAAGGCACGGTTCTCAAAGCCATTTGAGTTTCCATTAATTTACCGAGACTGTGCAAAACACTATTGTGCACCTCTACCAGATTATGAAAGCAAGCAATTTAAATAAATTAAAATTTTAAAAAGTAAATTAAATAAAGTAATAATCAAGTAATAGAGTGCTTCACAAAGCAACTCCCATTGACATCAGTGGGGCCACCACTTTCTGAAGTTATCAGCATATGCAAAAGTAAGCATTTGCAGGATTGCGGTGCTAATAACTGAAGCCTTACCTTACAGCTCTATAAATTCCTTAAAAATATCCAGGGGAAGGGGGAGTTTCCAGTTAGCCCAATTCATCCCTCAGGTGTTTTGACTGCACTTACCATATGCTGGAAATCAAACGAGAACCCTAGTAGAATATCACAAAGTTTGTATGTTATTGACTTTTCCCTGTAAAGGGCGGTGGGACCTACAGAATGAATCTCTCCCAGACAAGGGAGTACTGGACATCACAGCAGGTATTTCTGTCTACACCAGCAGTTCCCAACCTGTGGCACACGTAACACCAGTGATACACAGACAACCTGTCAGTGGTACATGTTAACAGGCTAATTATAATTACTTTATATGACAAAAATTTGCTGGTGGTATTTAAGGTTGTGCCATTTTTAAATTGGTGGTGCGCAACCTGTCAGAGTTTGGGAACCACTGGTCTACACCATGTCAGCAACAGGTTTTGGGGAGAGCCCCTGCCAACCCAAGTCAAAACTTCCTTAGTGAAACTTCTCCAGACTCCTCCCCAGCATGCACTCCCGTCTTAGGTGGGCCAGATGTGCTCAGTCCTGTGTTTCCTGAAACCAGCTCCTGATATGAAGTAGACAGAGCCCTAGCAGTTGCAAGCCTTATCGGGAATTTTTATTTGAGACACGTTACTCCCCTAAGCATTAGCTTGGACCAGTCAGAAATACAACACATAACCAGTTTGAAAGAGAATAGAAATACAAGATTTAAACCTAATGTCAGGGGTGGAAAGGTGTTTCTGTAGATCTCAGCAGAAGCCCACTTGACCTCTGTTGTTTTGTGGTGGCATAACGTGAGCAAAACCACATCTTTTCATACTGCTCCATTTTATTTTGAGTCACTCCTTGCTCTCTGTCATGTTCCCTACTGATTTCAGGAGTTCCAAGGTTGTGTTTGGTGTCTTTACTACTTTTTGCTTTAAGTAGAGTGATCAAATTTGTAAATCCTACTTCTTATAAAAGGGTCACTCAGAGATAGTTCAGGCATCCCTTTGCACAGCTCTACAAACACATGCTGAGCCTAATATTATAATTAGGCATAGGCCCCAAAGCAAAGGCTACTAATTGAACCTCCTTATAGTTCAAGCAGTCTGAATCACTCCAATACTTGGTACAAGACTACACTAGAAGCCTCCTCTGCTCTGCAGCCTCTATGGCGTGTCACCTGTTAGATGGCAATAGTGTATGTTTTCATAGTTTCATAGTTTCTAGGGTCGGAAGGGACCTGAGCAGATCATCTAGTCTGACCCCCTGCCATGGCAGGAAGAGCACTAGGGTCAAATGACCCCAGTAAGGTGGTCATCCAACCTCCTCTTAAAAACCCCCAGGGTGGGAGCCTGCACCACCTCACTTGGAAGCTGGTTCCAGAC